ATGAAAATCATCAAGGAATGGAGGACTCGCAACTGAACAAGGTAGTGGGATATCACTTTGAGTCCTACAGCACGAGGGACGTAACAGAATTTTATCTCAACGCTACATACGAAGGGGAGACCATTCGGTCAAATGTCAATGGTGAGAACATTACCCTCACTCCTGAAGATCTCAACGCCCTCTTTGGCGTAGTGGAGGACCCTCGAGAAGAAGAAACTGAAGGTTTCTTAACTCTGGACAGTGTCAAGGTCACTGTGGACAACTTTGTCCAACTCTACTGCCGCCCTGAAGTGGGTAGAGTTCCCAAACTATACATGAAGAAGAACCTACTTCTGAGCGACTATGAGAAGCTGGTGAACATTCTTTACAGGTGTGTCTGGAGCAAGAGCACCTCCACCGATGACATGAATGTACTCAATGCAAAAGTTGTCTTTGCAGTTCATCATGGGATGAACATCAACTGGGGACAGGTAATTGTCAAATCCCTTGTTGAATTCATCAAAAAGAAAGACAAAGAAACCGGACTGTTCAAAACCCCCATGGGTTATGGTCTCTTAATCTCTGAAACCTTGCTCAAGGCAAGGATAGGGCTGAGAAATCCTACTGAGGCAGACTACACCAAGTTGCTCTTCCTCAACACCTCCAATGACAGGAAGATTGCTCTCAAGGCAGAGCAGAAAAGGCTCAGAACTCTTGAGTTCAACAGAGAAAGGCAACAACAGAAGGTTGTTCAGCCAAAGAAAGTCACCAAGAAGCAACAGAAACCCTCTACTCCTTCTGATTCTGAAGAAGAAATGCCTTTGGTGAAGAAGGTGGTCAAGAAGGTTCCCAAAAAGAAGACCACACCTGTCAAAGTCCACAAGCTGGTGGCAAAGAAATCTGTTCTAAAGAGAAAGGCACCTTCCCCTATCTCTACAGAAAGCACCCCGTCTGCTGCACCAGTTGCAAAGAAGGCAAAGATTCTGACACCTGCAGCACAGGAGAAGCTGGAGGATTCTGTCACCTCTACCCCAGCCAACAGAAATGCTTGGCAAGGCAAGAGGATTGTCTTTGAGTCTAGTGACTCAGAAGAAGAGGTAGTGGTGCAGGATGCCACTACTCAGGGGGAACCACACTTCTCTCCTCCTATTTCTACAAATGATCAACCTCTGGTGGTTTCTTCACCAGAACACCAAGAAGATGACAGAATTTCAAACTCTGCAGAACCCCTACTGAACAACTTCTCTGCCCTAGATAGGGAATTCATCAGGGTTCTGGCATGGAGAAAGTGGAGAGTGGGACCTCTCACTGAGCTACTGAAGAACTTGTCCCACTTCATCTCTGAGGAAGATGAAGTACTCCGATGGGCTGACACAGAAGATGTGGAACAATGCCTGGATAAAGACTTCCTTCTTTCTGTCCTACAGAAAAAGAAGGAGAAACACCAAGGAAAGGCTCCTCTGTTCAAAGATTCACCAGAAGACCATGTAAAGGCTCTTCAAGAGCATGAGTTGGATGATTTTGATGCTTGGTTGGTTGAGAAGAAGAGGAAAGAATCAATGATCAAGTTCCGACACAGTGCACATGGAGAAGGTGAACCCTCCACTGCAAATGACCTACCCTTGGTCATGGAGAAGCTTATCAAAGAATGGAGGGATTCTCTGTTCACAGAAACTGTACTAGAGGTAATTCCCACTACCATTCCTTCTCCCCCTCCCTCTCCTAAAATCACTTCACCTCAACCCCAACAGAAATCCCCCTCACCCTCACAGAAAACCATCTCCAGACAGAACACCTCCTCACCTCATCAGAAACCCTCTTCTGCACAGAAAGCCCCTACACCCCAAAAACCCTCAATCTCCAAATCTCCATCTCTTTCACCCTGCAAACCGTTCTCTCCTCCAAAGAACAGATCCCCATCCCCTCCCCTCCCCCATCCCCTCACAGACAAATTGTCCAATACCAACCCCCACAGATCATTTCTTCATCACCACCACCTCAACAGAAATCCCCTTCACCTACCAAGTCTGAACATGCAGAAACTCCACAAGACTCCCATCCACCACACCAACCTGCTGCTCAGCTGAAACCTGAATGGTTTCTTAGAGATTCTGATCCTACAACCATCTCTCCCATCTCTGCACCACAAGGGTATTCTAGGCACTCTACTGCCCCCAATCCCTCCCTCAGGAAGAAGAAGAAGGTGATCAGAAACAGAATACCAATCTATTCCTCTTATGAAGATTCTTCTGACATGGATGGATTCATGATCAGCAAATCCTACAAAGCCACTTCAAAGAGACAGAAGACCCCTCCTCTGACTCAACTTGAACATGAACTCATTGTTGAATCTCTCTCCTCTGTCCAAGAACATCACCCCTTGCCTAAGGGAAGAGGTCTAGAGATGCCTCCATCTGATGGACAAGAGAACCAGATCCCCTTCAACAAGTTCGTTGAAGCAGCAGAAGATTTTGGTGGACAACTCCTCCATGGCATGAACAAGTTGATACAGATCAATGATAAACATTATGGGCACCTTGCTCATGTGAATGATAATCTCAACTCCGGGATGCAGTTTATCTCAGATCGCTTTGAGAATCTCACAACATCTCTCAACAACTTCATGACTTCCTCAACTGCCAGAACAGATGCACTGTCAACAGAAGTGGCAGGTATCCACAAAACCCTCTCTGTCTTTCAACAGACACTCCTAAATCAAGGACATACAATCAACTCTATCTCAGAGAATCTTGAGGCTCTGAAGAAATCTGATGCCAGAACTGAGAGGCAACTGACCTCCATTGAGGAAATGTGCAGAGCTCACCAAGATCAAGCTCAACTTCTCCTCTCTGTTGACAAAGACAGATATCAAAAGATGGTACTGCTTGAAGCCAACAACAAGGACATCTTCTCTGCCATTCAGAAGCAGTAAGGTCTCATAGAAGGCCTTACATCTGTGACTCAAACCTTACCAGAAACCCTGGAACAGATTGCCTCTACTCAGGCCACAGAATTCCAGAAACTCTCCCTTCTGCTTGGTGATCTCGATGATGCCAAAAAGGGGGAAGAAGGCCCTCATCTTAGGAAACCCAGGACCACCAGAAACTCATCATCTGGTGAACCAACTGTGGATCCCACACCTTACTTTGAAGCTGCCCTTCAGAAGAAAAGGCTAGCAGGTATCCCTAGACCTCCATCCCCACTGAAGAAAGGATCTAAGAAGAAGAAAGCTCTAAACTTTAAAGAATGGAGACTGGGAGGATCTCAGGTAATGTCTGCTACACAATTTGAGGAAATGAACCAGAAGATGACCTCTACACAGCAACAGAATCTTTATTTGGACCCTGATGGCCATGTGAAGGTTAGACATGGTGGATCTCTGGAGGAAGCAGAATTCTGGTTTCACAACAGTATTGTACCAGGAAAAGATATCCATGAAGGTGTTCTTAACTACTTAGACTGCAAACTCTCACCCGTCTGGGCTTCTTATCAAAGAACTGGAAATCTGGCTGGAATCAGAAAAGAGGTGAATGCAAAGCTAAAGAGACTACAAGGACTGGATGAACAAGCAAGAGCTGAAGCTGCAAAGGCTATTATGTAATCAGATACTCTTGTAATCCACCTTAATAAAAGAACATCTCTGCCTCACACTTTGTAAGGCAATTCCTCAATCTCTGTCTCTTCTTTAATTTCTGTTTGTGTTTGCTTGTTTGCTTTTGAAATATTATCTGCTATCTGATTGTACTGCACTCTTACAATTTTCTTATGCCAAGTTGCCCACCAAGATTTTAATGAAAAGTTTCAAACTTCTTTATGGTGAAGGCACTTCTCTGGAAATAGTTAAAGGGTTTTGGCATCATCAAAAAGGGGGAAATTGTAAGGAATATTTGTAATTAGATTTTGATGATGCTATATTAATTAGGACTTTAAAGTACCCCTTTTAGAAATTATGTATTAGAATTTTCCTTTGTAAAGTTCTTAGCATAATCGACTACCAGAAGGCCTCCACACCAGAAGACCTCCTCACAGAAGATCCTTAGTTCTCTACCGAGGAACAGAAAACCTCAGGGTCTCTGTTAGCCTTTTCCTTGACAGAAACCCTCCTGGCTCTCTGTAAGCTATTATCAACAGAAGTGCTCAAGACCTTCTCTGATCAGTTCTCTGCTAAAGACACCAGAAGGCCTGACACTAGGAAGAAATCCACAAAGCCGGGAAATCAACTGAAAGATTCCTTCAACGGCTAGGAGTATTGAACGGAAAAGCTACAGTACGCGCATTAAATACACATTTAATGCTCCCCATGCTCCGTGGAGTAATTGCAGATGATTGGCCGCAATGTCAGGATTACTTTATCCCAAAATAGTAACCCGCCAACTTTACCGGGTCCTACTGGTCAAGTCAACTGCTCGGGCATTAAATGCAGTTGTCCTCCTTCACCTCCAACGGGAAGACAACCCTCAGTATAAAAGATACACTTCGAAGAACAACCAGATAACTTTTGCTCTACTAACTTTGCCAACTTCATCACATTCTTCGCAAGACAAACACATTCAAACTACACAAGGCAAAGAGGTTCTCTTGAGATTCAAACTCTTCATCCTCAACAAGAGAGACACAAGTCGGAAAGAATATACATTCCTATCATCTAATGCAACTAGAGCAAGGTTCCAATAGTTCTTCAACAACTTCAAGCACTTCATCTACAAATCCTTTGTAACGAAGCTAGTTGGAGGAACCCCTGTTTCAACAGAAACTCTTCTTATTACAAGAAGGACGTCCAAGTAACTGGAGTAAGTGAAGTGGTGATACTTCCGGGAAGCTCAGTGAAAGGACCAGTCTTAAAGGAAGCTAGGCAGTGCATCCCAGGAGACATCTAGACTTGAAGAAGACGTGAAGAGCTTCTTAAGTGCTAGGACTAAGGCGTTGTAAACGGTCGTTTTTACAAGCTTAGTGGAACAGTGGATTAGAGGAACGAGTTGTTCCTTGAACCACTATAAAAATCCCTGGTGTCATTTACTTACTGCTTTAAATATTTTCACTTAGATAGAACTGTCTAACTCCTTAGACTTGGTATCTGTGTTCAGCAGAACTTGTCTTACGAGTTAACAGAAGGCCTACTGCCTTTGCTTTTCTGAGGCTAAATCAACAGAACCCCCTATCAGAACCCCATCCGCTGCCAGTCTGTTCTGTCAACAGAATAGGCTATTATGTAAAATCTGGTACTTAGTTTAAAAAGCTAAAAACCAATACAGTATATTCACCCCCCCTCTAGACTGTATCCAGTACAACCGGGACCAACAAGTGGGCTTTTTGCTTCAAGAATTTTCTCTCCAGTTTAAGTTTTGTATTTAGAAGGGCTTTGAAATGAAACCATTGCTATCTGTTTACATCATTAGGCACCTCCATAAAAGCATTTTCAGCCTGTAAGACTCTTTCTTCACAGTCTTTGATGTGCTGAAAAATATTCCCAAAGCACTCTTTGTGCCAGACTCTGAGGTCTTTTTTCAGACATTTGAGCTTATGTACAAAACCTCTCATACCCCCAAAAGTTAAGCTAGACTCCCAGCTCCTCTTCACAGTATCAGGGAAATTGTGATGTGATAACCACATATTTTGAAACTTAAAAGATTTAGGGTCAGTCAACGTCTCAGTAGAACATTGAATAAGAATAGGGCAATGATCAGAAGGTGTTTTATCCAGAATAGTGACAAGAATTTTTGGAAAGAAATCATTCCACATAGAATTAATTAAATATCTGTCCAATCTTCGCCATACCCATCCATTTGCTCTGGCCCCAGCCCATGTAAATTGTGGCCCGTAATATGGTAGATCAATAAGGCCACAAGATGCAATGCAGTCAGAGAATTCATTAATACTTCTCAAATCTGGAATAGACCTACCTTGATGTTCAGAATGGGCTGAAATAGCATTAAAATCCCCTCCAACAAGCCAGGGGTCATGCATAGTACTAGAAAAGTTTATAAGAGAATCCCATAGCCCCCTTCTAGCTATATAGGTGTGCTTACCATATACTGCAGTCAACCAACCAGTAAAACCAACTTTATGAATTTTCATGTGAAGAAATTGGGGATGCCAGATAAAATCTGAAATGGAATGGTCCAATGGGTTCCAAAAAACCCAAATTTTATTGATGGAGGAAGAAACCACCCTCTGAAAACCAAATAGATGTTTATAGAAATCTGCTTTAGAGCCCTCAACAATAGGTTCAATGATAACTAAAATATGAACCTACCATTACTTGATCAAGGAAATGATTCGAGCACTAGCAGATTCAACCCCTCTAGCATTCCATATTAGACAATTCATTGGGAAGAGGTTGGAAACGTAAATGAAGTCTGTTTACAGACACTACTGTTCATCACTGACATATCCACCTGTTCTCTCTTTTTTGCGGCATTCCTAGTGAGCCTGGGTGATTTGTCCTCCTTTTCATTCTTTCTTCTCTTCCTGGAAGTCACAAGGGTGAAGCCTTCATTTGAAGGGGCCTGACAGGTATCATCTTCTTTAGAAGCAATAAAAGCCTCCATTTGGTCCAGTTTATTTTTCATAATATCCACCTTACAGGAGATTTCAGGCCAGGCTACTTCCCAGTTAGCCAGAGGCTGTAGGTTTCTTCTATCCTCCCTGTCAGAGAAATAATCAGTGCCAGCCACCTCAGAGTCATATTCTGATAATTTTTGCAGGTAGCCAAGATGAAAATCATCCCTGATGGCATGTATTTTGTTCCTGTTTGAAATCCCGACTACTTCCTTAGACAGATGGTTGTGCAAGTCTTGTTCAAAGTCAGCTGGAAGGCCAGATGGTGCAGTCTCTTTGGGGGTTATACCTACAGGGGAAACAGTAGCTGCAGCTTTTGCTGGAGGGGGTTCCATTTCAATTTCCTCAATTTCTGAATCTGTATCAATGGCCTGAGCATTATTATGTATTGGTTCTTCCATGATACTCTTACCTTTTTCTTGAGCTGTGAGTTTATGTGGTTGCTGCTCATTGCTAGGACCAGCCAGAGTGGGTTTAGCAACCCACATCTCCTTTTGATTCGTATTAGCTTTAGGTATTGTCTTTTTAGGAACAACATTGGAAACCTGGGGTGCATCTTTTTCTGGTTCCAAGACATTAGGATCACGTTTGGGACAGTTTGTCTCCAAGTGCCCTAAGTGTAGACACCCCAGGCAGTAGAGGGGTCTATTTTCGTAGGCTACTGATTGAGAAAATCCATTACTCCCAAAGCTTATCCAGATTTTGGATGGCATTTCTTTAGTTAGATCAAGCTCGACACAAATCCGTGCAACTGATGGTCGTGAGAGAGTGGCCGTGGGATTGTCCAATTTAATGGGGGTTCCAATCAGGCTGGCAATCTCAAATAGGGCCCTCTTATCATGTAAATGGATAGGGAGGCCTTCAAAAGCAATCCAAACGGGAACCACCGGGGATTCAACGTTAGGACGAAAATCCGGAGTCCACTTCGTGACTCTCAGAGAATAACCATAGATATCCCACACTTGTCGATTCCAACATCTCAAGTAATCATCTTCTCTATCGAATCGGATTAAAATGTGTTTTTTTTCAAGTAAACCCAAGTGAAAAGAACCTTTAAAGCCAATTACCTCAAAAGCTCTACGCAATTTCTCCATATTTGGGCGACCCTTGTAGAAATATTCGATAAGAGCCAGTTTGTGCTGCAGTGCAAGTGTTGCGATGTCATCGCTTGAAAAATTGATTGAGGGCATTCCTCTAAAGCGTGATCAAGTGGTAGATAGGGATAAAGCTGTGCGATTAGAGACCACGTCAGTGAAGGAACGTCTTGACCAAGCATTATCGCCGGTGGGCGGCTGAGCCGCCGTTGAAAGCAAGGGATCCACCGTCATTCAGTGTGTCCTTAAAATCTATCGTGTGGAAATCGGTCCTTCGTTTCCCTCCTTCTCTCTTCCCTAAACCACCATGGTTAAAACCAGAGACCTATATTATGTTAATGTTTGTGTATATTTTTTATGAGGAATGTTCTTAAATAGGACCAAAACTTTACTTATATAGCCGTATGGACTACCTACTTTTTTATACCTAAAAAGGATTATTTTTTTGTTAACACCACTTTTTCCCTTGATTTGATGTAGCTGACTAGTAGCACTCTTCCTCGTCGGATCTAAAGTGCAACAAGCTTCTTATCTTGCTCCTGTGTGATTTGGAACGGACCAAGTCATCAGTGACATTGTATGTTGTGACGATATTTATAATGATAATGATTGACATTGGTCACATTTTTTGACATTGTAACATTTTTCTTCATATTGATAATTACATTGTTACGATAATTATTGACATTGTCACTATTACAATGTCAAAATGTATAGAATGGACACTGACATTGTTACATTGTTACATTGACATTGGCATTATTATAATGTCATTATTTATAGAATTGACAGTGACATTGTTACATTGATATTTTCATTATTTAACGTTGTTACATTTTCTGATAATGTGATATAATTCCTACATCTTAACAAAGTTTCTAATACTGTGACCTTATTAGTTTTTTTTACCCGGTAGGCAAACCACCAAAATCATTGGGGCAAACGTCGGGGAACATTTGCCAGGTTTTATTAAATAAAAGAGAATGAATACAAAAAAGAGGGGGCCTAGGCCAAAACCTCTTGAAATACAAACAGGACAATAACACAACAACATCCAAGCCTTAGTCCCAAAAGATATTGGGGTCGGCTAACATGAATCGATACATGATATCACCACCAAAAGGAAAAGAAAGAAAATAAAGATAAAAAAGATAAGCTATGATAAAAAGATAATATAAAAAGAGATGAATATACATAAAAATGATAAAATAAAAAGGATACAAATAATGCTTATGTATATATAAGGATAAAAACAAGGAAAAAAGATGAGGGGAAAAGATGATACGAGATCACTCCTCCACACGAATACCCGCCCTCCACTTAGCTCTTTCCAAAGTCATGCCCTCATTCAACCCGAGAAGAAGCATATCACTTCGAACTCCCCTAACCCACGTCTGTTTGGGTCTTCCTCTCCCTCTCTTCCCTGCCTCTTCTTCACACATCTCAACTCGTCTGACAGGTGAATCACTCGGTCTTCTACGCACATGACCAAACCATCGTAGGCGCGACTCCCGCATCTTGTCTTCAATAGGTGCTACTCCCATCATTTGTCTGATTGTCTCATTCCTCACGCGGTCCTTTCTTGTATGCCCACACATCCAACGCAGCATGCACATCTCTGTCACACTCATCTTTTGAATGTGACATTGTTTCACCGCCCAATACTCTACGCCATACAGTAATGCAGGCCTAATTGGTGTCCTATAAAATTTACCCTTCAGTCTAGTCGGCATACCTCGATCGCATAGAAATCCTGACGCACTCTTCCCCTCATTTACCCTGTTGTGATTCTATGAGATACATCTCCATCTAACTCACCGTCCTTCTGAATTTTTGAGCTCAAGTAACGGAACATATCGCTGACTGGTATCTCCTTACCATCCAGAGTAATTCCACTATTACCACTGCTTCTACCTTCACCATACTTGCACTCCATGTACTCTGTCTTGCTCCGACTTAGTTTGAAACTCTTATTCTCCAATGTTTGTCGCCATACTTCCAACTTTGCTTTAAGATCAGACCTGATTGCGTCTCATCAATCAATACAGTATCGTCGGCAAACATCATGCACCACAGTATATCATCTTGAATTGACTTCGTAAGTTCATCCATGACTATGGCAAATAAGAAAGGGCTCAGAGCTGATCCTTGGTGCACTCTGATAGTAATAGGAAACTCTTCAGTCCTCCCTACACTAGTACGGACACTTGTAGTACAATCCTCATACCTATCCATGATGATGCTTATATACTTGCGTGATATGCCTTTTCTAGTTAAGGCCCACCAAAGAACTTCTCGAGGCACCCTATCATATGCCTTTTCTAAGTCAATGAACACCAAATGCAGATCCTTATGAGCGTCTCTATACTTCTCCATAAGTTGCCGAAGAAGGTGAATGGCCCCAGTTGTTGAGTGACCAGGCATAAAACCGAATTGATTCTCTGAAATCTTCACAGTTCTTCGAAGTCTTTGCTCAATCACTCGCTCCCAAAGTTTCATCGTGTGACTCATAAGCTTAACCCTCGATAGTTGGCACATTCTTGTACATCACCTTTATTCTTACGGCTTCCCTTACGGCTTTCTTTG